CGAAAATCCTTCCCTCCGTATGAGCGCGTTCAACACGGCATGCTGGAGTCAAGAAAATCACCGGGCTTCACCACGCGGTTTCCTTTTGTTTATTTCTACATCAAAGCTCGGCCTCTGAGATGCCGCTGCGGTGGCTCTGTGCTCCGGTAGTGGAGTTGGTGATCTCATAAACGGCAGAGGTATTATGGAACTCACAATTAAGCTTCCACTTCCACTGGGAAAGGGTAACTGTTGAAAAACGATTTATTTATGTATTTTTTTTGTGTCAATTTTAGGTTGTTTTCCAACACAGCCGAGATTCAGCTTAGTGGCAGCAACATTTACAGCTGTGTAAAACATCAATGTTATGTCTCAGGTTTCTGTATTGATGACACCAATCGTGTGGCGATCAATCTTACAGAAGAGAAGCTGACTTTCTCCACTAAAAGCAGCCGTATACACTGAAATTCAATGAATACAACTTGCACCGTAGTATCACTCTCTCCAAGTAATGGCTGCAGCTCTAAGCCCTCCCAGATAACACACACCAATTAAATACCGAAGAACTCCTTCATTGATCACTAATACCAATTAGATAACATCGGAGGCTGGATATGAACAAAAAATACATATAAATCCGCTCAAAAACACATTGTGAGTTTCTCATTTGCCAGCCAGGACGGCCTCTCCCCTTGGCGCCTCACCGCAGAATTAGCTTCTCTCTCTTCTCATCGTCCCAGTTGCTTGACGAGTGGTGTTGTGACAGGAAGCGCTGCACCTCTCAGTCAAACCACGCTCAGTCCGGGCCTCCGTCAGTGAAGACTTTGAACTCTTTAGGTGGTGGTGAGGAAGTCGGTGGTTGCCGCGTTGGGAGCCTTTTCCGGTAATGGCCCTTCTGTTCTAGAAATAGTTTTCCATCCCCTTAAAATTTGCCAACTATAGCCCAGACAGGTTAACAATTATGCGAAAAACATCTTCCGTGGTTTTTAGAACCCCCTGCTTTTAAGCGCAAGGATTGATGTATTATCCTCTCTTGAAATATGGAGTTGCTCTCCGCGTCTTCTCCTCCCAAAGTACAGATACAAAGGTTCTCTGGGTTGTGAACTGGAAGAGAAGCCCAGTCGCAGGGTGTTTGATATGTTATAGTACGTGCTTCTGGTCTACATGCCCACACATCCCACGCATGTCTTCATTCATCCCAACTTATGATGGCTTCTCCTTGTCATGCGGTTTTGAGTCTAAACTGTTTTTAAAAAAAAAATCTGGCAAAGCTATCAACACAAAGAGCATTTTTTTCCCAGCATTACCTCTGAGGGTGACGCTTTTTTGGCACCCAATCCAAAATCGTGGGAGAGTTTGTCAAACTTGTGTTGGCAGGTAGCGATAAAAAAGATGTGTTGGACCGTTTGCCGTGTCTGAGGCAAATTTCAAGTATCTACAATCCAACGCGTCGGGTGTCTGAGGCTGCAAATCAATCAAATCCCTCTACTTGAATTGTCTAACGGAGGCCGTCAGGATTCAAAGAACTTGAGTCCATGCACGCGGCGCCACCTGTACAGCCCGCTCGGCCTCCTGGGTAACCCCCTCCCCCCATGTGGAAACCAATCACTTTCAGTACTAGTGGCACCAAGAGATTGTTAAATTTTGAAGCCGCCAACTGGATAACGAAAGCACGTGGTTCTGCTATGAAGCACGATGTTCGTATCGTTCTAACAGGAAACGCGTTGATCTCTGAACGTGACCTCGTTTATCTCAAATATCCAAATGCGTCCCCCGAGTAATTGTTGCTCAGTAATGCTAAAGTGGAGTCTGGTGTGCGTTTGTGCATGTTGTTCTCCTGAGCCCCTGCCGAGTTGTTGTTGTTATTTTTACCACCCAAGCCAAGAGCAGATAGCCTGTCAAAACAAGCGCTCTCCCTTCCGACCGGCGGGGAGACAGCTTTCCGAACGGATGCAGTCGGGTTGGGTTTTTATTTTATTTTTTTATCCGCTGTGGAATGCCTGCAAAAAAAGTTTTTGGGAAGGTGAATCTCAAGGAAGTGAAAAACCTGATACGAAAATATTACTCAGGCTTGTGTTTCAAGCTATGATGTTTTTGCCAGTGTTGAAGAAGAAAAGAAAAAATGACACACACATCCATGTTATGGCACAATGCAGCCTAAACATTCAATATTAGAGCTTTTCTACCATTACAGTGACCGGAAGAAGCAATCAGCCGTTCTTCCACATCTGGCGGGTTCCAGCTCCAACGTTGGACATTTTTGGTCCCATTGCAAAAAAAGTTCAAATGAACAATTCTTCCTGTGTGTTAAGATCTGAACTATGCAACAAAAAAAAAGTTTCCATTTGGCTGATATTGTTTATCGAGAAAGAAACCAATCATGAAGCGGTGGGTTCAGGTTCCGATCAAAGTCACAGGAAGGGCTGATGGGGGGCCAGCAGTGGGGTGGAGAAGGAGGGGGTGGGGGTCCTCATTTACCATTCAGCATGGCTGCCATGAATATAGAAGCCTTTGATTAACAGCCGGGGTACGTTGGCACCATCGTCACCCCTCAAGGTGTGGAAAGGTTTCCTGGCCTCTTCTGCCAAATGCAACGAGGTGCCTGCTTTTGATGTTCTGATCAGACGAGCATCTGTTTGGAGATTGAAACGAATGTAAATCCAGGTTTTTTAAATGCATTTGTGGGGATTTTTCTGTTGATTGATCACTTTTACATCTTTGTCAAAGTTGGTAAAATATCCAGAACATTAAATTATTGAAGTCTTACAAACAAAATCTTATTATTTGTACTTTTGAAAGTCAACCTTCTGACCACCACCAGCTTTTATAAAAGGAGGCTCATCTCTTCCTCCCCCCTCTCTCTCTTCCTCCCCCTCTCTCTCTTCCTCCCCCCTCTTGCTAAAGTTCGAGGCGCTTTGGATCGGAGATAGTTTCGCCGCTCTTACTACTAATCCCTCCGGGCCTGTCGGTCCCTGCGCTATCACCGCTGCTTTGACAGACACCGACGGCTCCAAGCAGGACACACTTAAACTGTCCCACTCGTATCTCTCCTTTGGCATTGAAGAGCCTGCCAAGTGCGTAATTGAAGAAATGTGTCGGGCGTTCAGCGCGGAGGCCTCAAGCTGACAAACGACTGGCTCGAGGTGTTCTGCGATGCACGTACAGATGTGAGATGACTCGTCTAAGTAACTCAAGCAGACACTTTCCTGTTGGCCACATTTGACCCGGTCCGATTACTTGGTAACCTCAAGTCTTCACATCAGATTAGAATAGTGCGCGAAGCAACGTCTTTCAGGTTGAGTCCTTCAGGAATAGTAATGATACTGCTGGCAAGTTGTTTTTAGAGATGACACAGTTGGGACTATAATCAAAATGCTATCGCCAATTGTTTTATGTGTATATTTTTTCTTTACTTGGTTTAAGGAAAGGCCACGCATGCCCTTATTTCTGCAGCATGTTGGCTTTGGTCTCAGGAACATCTGTTCACCTTTGAAGCTGTAATTCCCCTTTTTCCTTCATCTCTTTATCCCTCTTTTATTACAGAATGACTCTTTTCATTTTCCAGCTGCAATGATCAGAGTGACGATGTTCTCAGGAGCAAAAACAGGTGTAATTCAGATGAAGTTTAACGCGGCCGCCATCAATCAGTCGAGAGCTTCTCTCCTTCTGCCACGTTTCCGTCATCGCGCCTTGGACCACGAGGAGCACGCAGAGGCTGCGGGGCAAGTCCCCGCTCTCCTGTGGTCCCCTCCATCTTAATACTCTGACCTAAAGTATGCAGGGGCGAGTCGGCGGGGTGTCATTAGCGGGTATGCGTGGGTATGCGTGCGCATACTCCGATCGCTGACCCCGGGCCGTGCCACAAGCCGCCGCGGCCTGAAAGCACCCTGAGCAGACGCCTAATAAAAGACCTTCAAACGTCCCCCGAAGCGCTGCAACGTGAACCCGCCGAGGAGAGACTAACACCAGCGGGTTTATCCACCGCTGCATGAAAGTATCGCCGCGTCACACCTGACAGGGAGGGCTCCTCTCGACCTTGCAAGCAAGCGGCTTCTCCGATCCTCAAAGCTCCTTCTCCTTCCCCTCCATTCTCTCTCTCTCTCTCTCCCTCCCCCTCCATCCTCCGTCGCTCTGTAATTATGCCGCTTCTGCTGGAGCTGCTTGAAGTTTCGGCCAATTAGACAATAAAGACGGGAGCTTTCTCTCCTGCTCTGTTGGCCTCCCCGGTCACACCCTCGCGTGTCTCCTCTCACTTCACCGCTCGTATTTTACAGTCTTGTGCAGGCCAGTTGTTACGTCCCGTTTGAACCCACAGCACAAACACACATCCTTTGTTTCCCTTTGACTTTATTGTTCTTCTTTACTTTCTCTCAACCCTGTCTCCCCAACTTCCTCCTCTCATAATACATTTTTCGTCATGTTTCACCCTCCGAGCATCCTGACTCCAAGCTGATGGTCCCATTGTTTTGTTTTTCACTCGCGAAAAAATAAAGATATGTCTCTGACTTCAATGTCCTTTCTAATTGCTTGTGGTGGATCGTAAGCGGTGGCTAAAGTTAGTTTGGGAGCTGCAGCCGGTGTTCGGGGCGGACGCAGCAGCCCGCTCTGCGTTTCCCAGTGTTCTCGGGTGGTTTCAGACCACTGGCAAGCAGCTGCGGTGTTCTTAGGGGAAATAATTACAATTGTCGAGCTTTCTCCTTCTTCTCCCCCCCCCCCGTCGCCTGTCATGCTGATGTAGGGTTTTTGAGGAACCCTAGAATTGCGGGCTGTTTTTAGCGGTCGCGTGTGACGCTTTTTGTTATCCAGTGTAATCAGGTCACCAAAGCCGGAGCTACGTCGGCTGCGGACGACGAGCCACAGGATGTGTGTGTTTGGTCAGGAACAGCATGACTGCACTAACGAGGAGACAATTTTATCTTGCTTGTCAATGTTGCTCTCAAGAGCCAACGGGGAGCACAAGCAGCCTTGCTCGGATCCACTTGTTTATATTCCTAAATCCTTGATGTCTTCTTGTCCAACAGCAAATACTCCGCCACTCCCGCGCCAACGCCACCAGGGCCATTTTCCTGATCACCGACGGCTACTCCAACGGCGGGGACCCTCGGCCGGTGGCGGCCGCTCTGCGGGAGCGCAGCGTGGAGATCTTCACCTTGGGCATCTGGCAGGGCAACATCAAGGAGCTCCACGACATGGCCTCGCAACCCAAGGACCAGCACTGCTACCTGGTGCACAACTTTGCCGAGTTTGAGGCCCTGGCTCGTCACGCTCTCCACGAAGGTACGAAGCGCAGACAAGGGTTTTTCTCTGGATGGTTTGTGGTACGGCTTCTTTATCTTTCTCTTTTCAAGGCTTCCTGAGGTGTTTCCTCAATTCAAGGAAACCTTTGTGATAGATGTTTATAAACCTGCTTTAGCTGCAGAGTTCTTTTAAACCCTGTGTTTTAGTAAATGGACGCTGAAGCCGTGACTACTCTTCATCTCTTTGAAGCCTCGGTGCTCCCATCATCTCGATTTGACCTTAGAAATAGCTCTTAAGTGAAGGAATTGCCCCTAGAATTCAGTGTTTACTTAAAACGACGCTGATAATATTTCATGTGGAATCTGACAGCGTACATTTCACATGGTATCTTCTGTTATGTACTGCCAGCTGCCATTAGGCTTTGGACAAAGTGAGTCCCTCTTCCCACACTAAAAGGGGACTTCTCACAATTTGGTGAAAAGAGGGATTTGGTCATAGCTTTTAAACTTAAAATATCCTCGTAAATATGACAGTCGAGTACAGCCCTAAGTGCTTGGCGAGCTATAAACCCTACACATGTATATGTCCACTCAAACAAAGAGCCTTTGAAATCAGTAGGTGCAGTGGTAGAGATCAGTGAGACGGCGCGAGGATAAGACATTGAGAATGAGAGCCAACACACACACACACACACACACACACCAGACCGCTCGGGCCTCCGTCCGTCCGTCTTGAGGTCTTGCAGCCTCACAGCAGACACGGGGCCACATGTTGAGCCACTCTCACTGGTCACGCATCAAATCAAACACAATCCGTCTTTCATGGCGCTGTGCCTTCCTGCCTTTCTCAATGAGAAAAAAAAACAATTTCACTTCCAAAGATGAAATTTAAGTTTCCTTGTGGCTCAGCAGGAAAGCCAGTTACGGGCTGAGTCTCAACAGCGAGGTACAGCTCCAATCAAATTATTTCAGAAAATGTCAGATTTATGCTGTTTAAATTGCTAAAATGGATATGGTGTTTGCGTTCAGGCAGTCTTTTACATTTTTTTATGCATTTCTGTGGTGAAAGTTTTCTTATTTCTCGAGCGAAGGCATTTCACAGGTCCGTGGAAAGCCCTGCGTGCAGAGAGTCTGTAGCCAGTCTCAACGGCATACCCTGCAGAACCCGCTAATGCCTTTAGTACTGCCATTAAGAGCGCTCGCCTCCCCACGTTTAATGTGACAGCTCAACGCGTCTGATCGCCAGTTGGTGAAATCTGATCCCGCTGCGACCTGCGCTCCTCTGTGCTTGTTTCCCACCCTCAGACCTCCCGACGGGCAGCTACATCCAGGAAGACCGGTCGCGCTGCTCCTCGCTGTGCGAAGCAGGCAGCGACTGCTGCGACCCGATGGCCAGCTGCAAGTGCGGCACACACACCGGGCAGTACGACTGCATCTGTGAGAAGGGATACTACGGCAAGGGGCTGCAGCACGAGTGCACAGGTAGGACACGGGGCCCCGTCTCAGCTGCTCTCACACCGCCCTCGTCTTCTCTCTGCAGACAAAGTTTGCACCTGCAAAGCTACAACTGAACAACTGAGCGTCAATAATTGCAAAAACCGACCCAATAAAAATCAACGTGGCGTGGCTGCTGTTTTTTTGTTTCTTTTCACTTGCCGAGACCTGAGACCGGCAACATGTTTATGCCTCATGGAAAGGCATTTGGAGCTCCTCGTAGTTCCTCTTTCCCTGCTTTACCCGTCAGTCTCTCCTCCCAATCGAATGGAAGTCACCGTGGGTTAAACAAGCAGCCCGTCCACAAGCTGCCAACCGGGCAGATCGCTATCAACAAACCTAGTAATGTGCAGCAGGGGTGGATGACGGAGGCAGTGAGGTCTGTGTACGTCTGTGTACGTCTGTGTGTTCTCTCACTTACCTCCTTTAAATCAAACCCCCAACATCTGTTTCTTTCTCTTGTACATGCACCGAAAATGCTGTTGTTGGTCTTAAAACTAACTGCTTTTTTTTTTTGTCTGTGGCTCCTTGTTGCTTTTCCGCCCACTCGTGTTTTGTGTGCGTATCTATTTGAGGAAAAAAGAAAATCTGCTTCATCGGTTGCCAGAGAACTCTGGCTTTTACCCTGGTGTTCCTTACTACTGGTTATTTATAATGTTGGGTCTCTTGGACTTATTATTTTATGGTTGCACACAAACGTCATCGCAGATAAGATCTGTAGAGAAAGTTGGTTGCACTTGTGTGTGTGTGTGTTTGTTTAACGATGAAGGGATAATTTTGAGTGAAACGCAGGCATGTTCATGCGCATGTAGCACACAGACGTATGGAATTATTCCCTGCCCCAATTATAAAGTTGCAAAAACTGTAAATTCAAGACAAAATTACAGAGATATGAAATGTGCCAATGCAAATGTATAATAATAGATACGTATTTGTCATAAAAAAGACTATTATTTGCTGAGTGGTGAGGCTCCTTTTTATTAGGGGAAACCCTAATTCTTAAAAAAAAAAGTCCCAATGCAGAATTGAGGTAAACTTTCTTAATTCATTAACTGCGTTTTGCTCAAGTGCAAAGCCTAAAAATCAAGAAGGCATTCAAACATATTCATTTGTCTTTTAAATGTCCGTTCTCTGGTCTTTTAAATGTCTTGGTTTCACAGTGTGAAGGTGGTCTCCATCATTAAGATGTCATTTTTACTGAATATGTGATCACGGTACGGAGAGAGACACAGCAGTCTGTGTGATTGTTGGAGAGCGGAGCGACGAGCAGATGCGTCGGCCCGTGTGTGAGTCTCTGTTTGAGGATCAACGTCAAGCGGTTATTTTGACTGCTCACCTCTCGTGGAGGAGGTTTGGGGGGGCAGGTGGGAGGGAACAAGGGCCTTAGACTAGAATCAATACGCGCCTTAAAGTGGAAATGTGGATAGCAATCGGCTGTCACAGTAGGAAACAATGGGCCGTGACCCTGCTTGTATTTGCCCTCGAGGTCTTCCTCTCCACATGCTTTCTGTCCAGTTAGATAACAGGAAAAGAAGCAGGAAAGAAGCCCATTTGAGTCTGAATAATTCCCATCAGGGTTTAAAAGAAAGGAAAGTGGCAGACGGAGGAGGATTTGTCAAAGTGAGAGCCGGAAAAAAAAAAAAGTGCACGCCTCCCTAATTCCCATCAGATGTTGTCGAGACTGGAGCCCCACTCCGCTTATTAATCTGTTTTAACGGTTTAATTAACAGCAGGGAGCAGACTGCAGAGTCGGCTCGGCCCGGCTCGAGGAAGGAAGGACTCAGCGAGGCGCTGCAACCGCAGCCGAGGACCGCTTCCCCTGTCTGCCTCTCGCTCACGCTGCAGTGCCTGATGGGAAATGAGTCGGCTATTTTCGCGGGCGGACGCCCCCGAATGCCTACGCAGCCGACGCGGACCCACAGTGCACCGCGCCAGAGGAACATCTGTCGGCCGGAAAAGCGTCGGTCGGCTAAGCCCCCGTTAGTCTTGTTCGGCTCAGTTTTGGTTTTTCGCTAAGTGGTGCGAAATGCCCTCGTGAAGGTTTTTTGAACAGTACATTCACTGATGGTTTTATTCCCTAATAACTCACAAGGCTCTTTTGAAGTAGCTGTGGCTCCAAAACCAATTAGATTTGCGGTGAGGGCAGTACGTAACCAAGAAACCCGTGAGTACACTCAACAGGCTCCCTGCTGTTTTCGCAGAAAAATCCCGCCTCTCACTCCTAATATTCTGTTGCTTTAACCTCAACGAGCTTGGCCGAAAGGAGGTGTTTGGTGAATTATTGGTACGCTGTCTGCGTCGGCGCTTGCCAGGCCGGTTTAGTGGCGGACGGTCGCAGCGCTCCACTTCCACGGTGAGACATTCCTCTGGCTGGAGTGGGCCTGTCAGCCGGCGTGCGGCTTCAGGTGGTCTCGCTGTTCTGGGCCCAGAGCTCGGAGCGGTATTTTATTCATTCGGGACTTTTGTTTCCTCCCATCCAACAGGCGCATCTGAGAATAATACCAGAGAACCTTCCGGCTCGGTTGTTGTCGTTGGCCGAAAGCGCTCTGTTGGAAACGCCATCCAAATCCCCGCAGCGCACAGCAGTCTTGTTTATGAATCCGCCGGCGGCCAAGTGCAACAGCCTCTTCCTCAAAACACGACTGGAATCCCGGCTGATAGAAGCAGGACGATGAACCCGCTTCCTGCGAAGTTCGGTTCACTCGGCTCTGCTTCGCAGTCCAACCTCACGCTCACAATATCTGCATCGCTGAGGATCCCTGCAGGAATGGGGACATGGATGAAGTGTTTGTGGGGACGGGGGGGGGCGACATGTTTTCCTCCTGTCACATGATGAGGCTTATCAGCCTCTTCTGTAGCACAAGAAAACGACAGGGAGTCTGGACAGTGTTGGCGTGCTGTCAGGCCTCAGAACGCCTCTGCTGGTGATAGACGGGAGAGGGATTTGTTTTCTCCTCCATCGTTGCCATCAGTGCTTTCAGCTTCCCCCCTGGCGCCTTCGGTTGCTCGATGTGCCGAGGCTCTTCTTGCTCTCCAAAAAGAAACCTGCTGTTGGTCCATCGCCATCGTCTGCTCCGCTTGTTGTCTTGATAGACGTCCCTCATCCTTTCTGAATACACACAGTTGAAGGAAATCCCGATAAAAAAGTCATCTACGGGAGCTTGTAGCAGAAAAACACAGCGTTGGCGTGACACGTGGCGGCGATGAGCTTCAAGTCGACCCCTGAACACGTCACACATCCGTCTGCGTTTCCTCACGTTTGTCGCCAGCAGTCAGTCCGTTCGCTTTTACTGTAAATATTTACGATCTCGATGTGAACGGCCGAGAGATCCCGGAAGGGGAAGCCTCGATTAAACCGGGGAATTAAAATGACAACAACAAGAGGTGGAGTTTGGTAAACGTTAAGGCCCATTAAAAGTTTTGCGGCAATCGTTATTTATCCTCCCCCCTCTGGCCTCGTCTCCGGTGTAAATGTTTTTTTTGTGTGTTTTGATGGGGATCTCCACCTCAGACCCTCGCCGCTCTGCAGCTCCTCTCCTTTCTGCACTGTCACACTTACACACCGGTGTACACTACGACGCACACCTCCGACCCATTAAAATATAAACCACATTCAAGGATCTGACACGTTCCAGATGTCTGGCAACAGCGCGTGTTTATATCACCTGAGAGAGTGCAGACGCTGCACACTGTAGACATAATAGATTACAGCATTGGGCCTTTAAATCTTTGGACATTAACACAAACCAAAACATGCGGTGAGAAAACTATTCCCAATGAAAGGAAAGCTAGATGTTCCTTTACTGCCGTCTGCAGAAGACTCGCGGCGCTTAATTTGTTTTTGTTTATGTGCCACTCTTTTGCCATACATTATCTTGTGCCTGATAAGGGTGTGTTTCAATTGTTGCTTGCTGTTTATTGTGATTTTTCTAGAATGTGGTCGAAATATTATTAAAAATTGAAGGGATCTTAAAAATAATGAGGTGCTAAATAACAGACCAACAGGCCGAAGTATAATTTTCAATACAATCAATGCAACTATTGTTTGGCCATTTCGTATCAGCATCTAAAGTTTGCTCGTGATCGATGTTCAGCAGACGTCGCGGCAAACTGCCCATAAGGTTTTTCGATTTGTCATGTAGGCAGCGGGGGCCTGATGATGTCACTGGAGGTCAAACACATTTAACCCCCCCGTGGACTCGTGAACTCAGCCAGTGGTTTTCCAGACACTTTGTCGTTGACCCTAAACGCCGCTGACACCGGCCCTCTTTCAAAAAGCAAATGTATTTCTACCAGAGGAGCAGGATTTGTCCAACACGTTACATAAACATGCGCATAAAGACTCTCTATTTCCTCCGACTGCAGGAATGCCGATCCCCACGGCAACGATAACCACAGCAGACTCTCCGCTTCTGTGCGCCGGCTCCGCGTCACTCCTTGTTTCCCAATGTACTAAAAGCTTCAGTTGCTCAACCTGGATTCCGGAATCCGACCACAACAAGCAAAGGCTTTTTTTGTTAGGAGGGTGGAGGGGGGGGTCAAGTGCCACTCCCCCCCTCCCCTGACTGGCTCAGTAATAACAATTATTCATATGGAACGTATCTGCGAAGCGCTTTTCATGCCGTAACGTGATATGCGGCAGTGTTGTGTTAATAAAAGTCGTACAAATGAACCATCAAAATGCGCAGAAAGAGAGCGAAAGGGTCGAGCTTTTTTTCGTGTGTAAACGTACCAGTGAAACACCTTGAGGCCTCGTGGCGCTCAAACCGGTTCTCATAAACTAACATTATAATTTCGGGGCGGGGGGGGTTTCAGTGACAGATTATTACTGACATTTCATAAATTCTCCCTCCCCCTTTTTTTCCCTCCAAATAAAGCGTCAGAAAACCAGGTTAAACTGCCCAGCTGTTGACAATAATCAAGCATGAGCACGCAGGGCTGGTCCAGTCGGACGTGGCGCCGTGTTGTTATGACATATAGAGGTGATG